GTATCGCGACAACACGCTCCAGCAGCTTGACCGCCTCCTTGACCTGTCCGTTTGCTTGATATGCTCGGGCGAGGTTATGCTGCGACGCCAGCCGATCTGCGTCATCTGCAGCCAGATTTCTATCCCCCCACTCGCGAGATTCCCGCAGCCAGATAACAGCTTCTTTCATCCTCCCATCAACGTATAAGCACAGTCCCACTTTTAGACAGAGCTCGCTCTTCGCCTCGGTATCTTGGCAGTGCTGGTTTTGGTCTATACGTGCCACATGCGGCAGATATTGTCGCCAGATCTCACGATTCGTGTAATCGTGAGACGGAAACACTTCCGAGAGGTGTTGTAGTGCCGCCCTACTCGTCTCTATTTCACGCCCGTTCTGACGAATCCATATTCTCGTTGACAAATGGACAAGCCTGTGCATGTCAAGCATCTTGCCGTCGTCCCATCTCTCCAGAAGCGAGTACGAACAAAGCATGCCGATAGCAGTCGCCATCCGTACTTTGGGCTGAATAGTAGGTAGGATTGTATATGGAATCGCCTTCCACTCAATGCAAGAGATAAAGTCGAGAAGGTCTGCTGCTATCGTGTCGTGCTTAAGAATCTGGTTGAAACTGACTATCCAAGTCTTTGCCACCGCGTTCACCGACTCTTTGTATCGTGTATTGTCGGCAAATTCAATGCTCATGATCGCGAGGGCGTCCTGCTCTGAATTCTTGAGCAACTGAAGATACTCAGAGATAGAGCTTTTGTTCGTGTTGATGTATGCCGCCGCTTGAGTGATGGCTAAGGGAAGATAGTCCAGTTCAACGAGGAGGTTCGTTATAAGCGTATCGTCGCTAGGTAGGTGCTTTAGGATTAACGACTTCTTCAGTAAGTTTATCGCCTCTTGTGTCTTCATCTTTTCGACTTCAATCACATCGCCCCCCGCAACAAACTGGGCAACTTCATTATGCCGGGTCGTGAACAAAGTTAGGCCGTTGTCGCTCTCTGGTAAAAAGTCTAATAAACCTTCCCCTTGCTCGACGCCGCGAAGGAGGTCCATATCGTCGGCATTGTCGATAATCAGTAACCACTTGTTTTTGGTCTTCTCGCTCAGCCCTTGCTGTACAAGCTTCCGGACATCCTCTTTACCGTCTTCCGACTGATGCATCTTTAATTTTCTTGCTATCTCCGTGCACGCCTGCTCAAACGTCTCCATACTCAGCGCTGGTAACCAGAAGATAGAGAAGTCTGGATAGCTTCCTCTAACCCAGTACGCGAACTCGAGCGCGGTCTGCGTCTTGCCGACGCCACCGAGGCCGACAAGAGCCATTTTCTGGCATTCCTTGTCTATAAGGAGCTTTTTCTTTAACACATCGAGCTCGGTGTCTCGACCAACGAACTGTCGATTTCGCGGGAAAGGAAGATGCTCTATTGCAAATAAGTTCAATTTGCCTATATAGAACTGCGATAGCTATACTAACCTCTCGTTGCTTCATCGACCGTCGCCATCTTCGCTACGTCTGCTACAGGTATGACCGACAGCAGCTCCTTCGCGTACGCCGCCGCGGTTCCAGCCGCGTATGGTTGCCATTTCTTGTTCTTATGCGAGTCGGCGTAGTCGCAGATGCCGCGGATCACTAGGCAAGGGAAGTTGTTCATCAAGCCTGCCGCCTCCATCTCGAAGCACAGCACCCCTCTAAATTCCGAGCTGATCTGGTCTCTTATAGCCCCATCCCTCATTACCTGGTTTCCTGATGCGATCGTGCCGTAGTGAACCAGAGGCGTGCTGTTTGCCCGCTCCTCCCTCTGTATTCGTCGTGTCGCTGCGCATGATGCGCAGCTGTCCTCTCCGACGTGATTATACTCCGCTTCGAATAGCACATCGCTTCCTGCTTTGTCGCGGGCAAAGTCCGGGAGGTTGCTAAGCTTCAACAGATGTGGCGATAGATTACTTCTCCCTCGGCGTTGGTTGGATCGCAGCTTCGTGACCGCACCGAGGAGAATCAGGGGTGGGGAGTTAAGAAATCCCGTCCGCTCGAATCCGCTGGGCGTCGACTTTCCAAAATCGTACTGGATCACCCCGCCATGGCCATTCCCCGGTTGGCTAACAACAACGTCTCCGAGCCGGATGTCTGCTTGTTTGTCCGGAACGCCGCCTCCGATCCCTACCATCATTCCAAACCGAATGGCTGGGAAGGTTGACTTCATTTGCATGGCAACTGCCGTGGCGGAGGCGACGCCCATGAAACCCGCAGGCAGGCAGGCAAGAAC